CCGCGCCAGAGGTTCAGACAGAACACAGACATACATATGAACATAAAGTAACTTACGGGTGAGCGAACACCCCGCCAGAGGTTCAGACAGAACACAAACATACATATAACGTAGATTACAGGTGAGCTGAAACAGTAACTAAGGCACCTCCAACTATATGGAAAAAAAAAAAAAAAAAATTGCTATAGGCATGACTGATATAAGATAGTACTGATGACAGGAAGAACACTCCTTCCAGCCTTTGCTTAGATAGCAAATCCTGCAAGGCAGCAGAACATGGAACAGGTTGCACTGGGTTACATGTTACCAGTAGCAGAATGATCATGAAGACCATACTCCTGACCTGACAAATATTTGCAATTTTATTTGGCGCACTTATGCCAGTTTGCACTTATGCCAATGTTTGCAAATTCTTTTGGCTCAATTATACCAGTTCGCTCTTGTGCCAATTTATGCCAATTTGCATATGCCAGTTCGTACTTACACCATTTGCACATTTGCCTCGATTTAATTTCAAATGTCTTGACATCGCTAAATATTGTGGCTCTCTGTAAAGACTAAAAAGTAGAAGAAAAAAATATAGCAAAAACATTTGCTAAAAAGTTTAATATTTTATAATCTTTTCTTTCACTAAATATGATCTTTTCCTCAACTTTCTTTTTGTCCATGGCCCGCTAAAAACTAACATTTTAAACAAAAATTTACCATAAAATTGCTTGCGGGTTTGTTTAGAATAGTCATAGTAATCTCTTAACAAATCTTTTCATTTTTAAAATAGGCTAATATTGCTTGTGGGTTTGTGATTTTTTTTAAATATATATTTTTCTCTGCTAATAATAAATTTTTGTTATTTTAAAAATCGGCTTTTTATAAATTATTTTTTTAATAAAAAAGTTATGTTAACTTTGTTTAATATTAATATAAAAATATAATACATCTGTGGGAGAACGCGAGTTGCAATGCAAATGAAATACTTTATGTTATTTTACTTTTATATAAAAAAGTTTTATCCTTTAAAAGAAAAATATTCTGCTCCTTTAATCAGCGAATACTCCGTTTCTTAAGGATAAAAAACTTGACTTAATTACAAATGTCTAGACAAACGCATCACTAAATATCGTAACTCTCTGTAAAGACTAAAAAGTAGAAAATAAAATATAGCAAAAATATTTGCTAAAAACGTAATTTTTTTGTCTAAAAAGTAGAAAATAAACTTTTTAATTTAAATCTAATAGTTCCGTAAACTAAAGATTGACAGGTATTTTCTAAATAAACCTTGCGCAGACCTGTCAATCTTTAGTTTACGGAACTATTAAATTTAAGTTAAAAAGTTTATTTTCTACTTTTTAGTACAAAAAGATTATGTTTTTAGCAAATGTTTTTGCTATATTTTATTAGTAAATGATCTATTACTTTTTTTTTTTAATTAAAGTCAATAAATGTTCTTTTGGGATCAAATCAGGATTCTGTGAATGCTATTCTAAAATGTTTATGCCGCTTTCATCAAAAAAGGTTTTAGTTTTTTTAGAAGTGTGTTTTGGATCATTGTCTTTTTGAAACAAAAACTGTTTCCCAATCTAATTTTTTAAGCAGAAGATTTCAAATTTTGTTTCAATATACTTTTATACAAATCAGCATTCATAGTTTCATCAAAAAATTCTTGTTTACCTACACCAGGGGTCGGCAACCTGTTTTAAGTGGAGAGCCATTTTTCCTTAAATAATTTTTGAAAAACTTACCAAGAGCTGAATAGATGCTAGTGTAAAAAATGGAAGATCAACAACTTCTTATTTTATGATATTCAATGATATTTAAATGTCTTATATACTTATTTTTACATACTGTAAAGTAGTTAAACAAATAATTAATTTAAACAAAAATGAGAAAGTGTTTTGTGAAATTTTTGTGAATTGATTCACAGATTCATTTTAAATCAGATTCTTTAATGAAGGTTTTTAGATGTAGAAATTTTTCAATGCTAATCTGATGTTACTTTTAATGATGTTTATGTTGCTAAATTTCAGCTCACAATAATATGTGGATTTGAAAACTGTCTAGAGTCTAAATGCCATCAGCTTAAGTTGATAGTAACTCTCGGGATTACTGTTCCATATTTAAAATGAAATTTGATCTTTTTTGTGTGTGGAGAATATGAAAGTACTTTCCATTTATGATCTACAAAAATTTTTGTTTAAATTTGTTTTAAGTTTTTTATTTTTGTTTGCAAAGTTTTTTTTTTATTTAAATTGAGCTTTATTGACCTTTGCAACGGTTGAAAATTCATTCTATTGATACAGTAAATGTGTCCAAAACGACAAAGCAAATTTTACCTTTGGTCTCTTTACCTAGAGATTATCGTGGTAAATTCATCCTATCAATATTTTCTTGAGATTGTTCAAATAAGTTGTTGTAACTTTAATAAAATAAACTTTTTTGCAACCTATTGTCTGGGTATTCAAAAGCTTTTAACAACAAAAAAGGTTTTATTATCAATACAATTACCAAAACATTTAAGAACACCTTCCTAGGTTACGAACAGACATTTTTATACAAAATTTTTATGAAAAAATAAAATTACTAAAATTAATTATTTGTTTCTATAAAATTAAAACATATAAAAGTTGTAAATACTGAAGAGCTATACAGTTTGGATAAAAAAGCTGCATAGGGCTTGTGAACTGTGGGTTGCTGACCCCTGACCTACAATTCCACATACAACCCCTTAAAATTCCACTTCCAAAGCTTAACTGTTCCTCTCGTGCAACTTAAATGAAAAGCTTCATCCCTCTTTTGCCAAACTCTTTGTGCACCATCAGATTTTTTAAGTTAAACTTGGATTCATCAGACCAAATAACTTTTTTCCAAAATGATAGTGGCATTAAATTATACTTTTTTGCAAAATTCATTCTTCTCTTCATATGATTTTTTGTTAAAAATGGTTTTTTACAAGCCATACATTCAGTGAACCCTGCCTTATGAATGCGATTTCCAATTGATTCAAGTGAAATTGTGTTTCCTGTTAAGTTTTTTAAAAGATTTGCTATATTTTTTGGGGTTTTAAACTAATTTTTTTTTATCATTCTTAAAATTTCTTGTCTTCAGCTTTTGTCCTCATCCAGTACGAATTTTAAATGTTTCTTATTGTTGGTATTTCTTTACAATGGCTCCTACTGTTGTAAATGTAATATTTGTAAGTTCTTCAACTTACAAATATGTTATTATGTATATATATATGTATATATATATATATATATATATATATATATATATATATATATATATATATATATATATATATATATATATATATATATATATATATATATATATAAATTATGTTAGTGTATTCTGCAAATAGAATGCTCGATACTAACCTAAAGAACAGAGCAATAATAAATTAGTAAAAACACTTATCTAATTTTGTTTTCAATAGGCTGTTTCTCCTTTTGTACTACAGTAGCTCTTGCCTCACCTCAACTAATGCATAAAATATTTTATTTATGACAGTTTCGTCAGCAGTATAACAAGAAACTATTTTAAAGATTATTTGAAGATTTTCAAATCTTTATTGATTTTTACAAAGTAAGTTGTTGGAATCAAGATAAGAAATAGAAGTTTGTTACTTGAAGACTCAAAAGCTTTGGTAATAAAAAGACTTATTCGGTATTTTTTAATAGGATTAGAACAATCTCCAGAGGTTTTGAAATAGGAAATATCAATTTGGATTAGCTTGTTTATCTGGTATGTCAAGAAGAGATAGGGTGTTAAGGTTAAGATTTTGAACTTTAGTACTAGCAGAGTCAGTTGTACTAAGCACAAGGTGTTCAGTGTGATGAGGATTCAGCAGTAACAGCAATATTGGCAGATGGATATAGGATAATGTTTTAGTCAATATGATCAAATATAATGTTTTAAAGAAGTTTTGAGAAGTATGTACATGATAAAAAACAAATAGGAAAGGATTAAGTGAAGTGAATCTAAGCCAAAGCACATTATAGAATTATCAGATGATTTAAACTTGATTTTGTGACAAATAGATGAATTGATACATAAGTATATGACTAGGACCAACATTTGACTATTTACTTTTTTGCAATTCAAAGGATAATAGCAATCTACAATGAGATCCAAAAATAAAATGGATGAATTTAAATTAGTCTCATAGGGTTGAATTTGCATGAGGTTGAAAATGCAAGAGGTCTAAAGAGTGCAAGATTCTATTACTACTAATAAAAAGTTACTTTGAAGAATAAAAATATTTTTATAAAATAGATTGAAACAGTTTTGTGGTGATGATAGATTTTCTGTTTAAAATTTTGAACTACTAACATATATTTCTCTCACATTATGAACAATAAAAACCTAAGCTAAAGTTCTCTTTAACGTCTCGAAGAAGATATAGTTCTTCATAAAATACACAATGCAATGGTGGCTGAATCAACACATTTAAAGTAAATACATTTTGAACCTCCATTAAAAGCAACTAAAGGCTTATTTTTTTACACTATTTCAAAATCTTTTTAAATGAATTTGTATTGATTGATATCTTAATACACAGAGAATCATTTTTAAAAGTAATGCAAATTGATTTTAAATCTGAAAGTGCTAAGGCACTGGTAATATGTGTAAGTGGTTTAATGAAATATTAGCATATCTTACAGTATTTTTCATGACATCAATAGCTAAATGACATTAAAATATTTTTTGTATTACTTAATATTAATTTTTAGTATTTTCTTAATCTTTATGATAAATTGTTATAATTTAGTTATGTTTGACGATTGTGTTTTTTATTTTTTTTTATAATTATTTTCTGTTAGATAATTATGTTCTGTTTGATATTTGTGTTTTGCTTGATAATTGTATTTTAATTAATGTTGCTAAATTTTTATATTTTTTTAATTTTTTTTTCCATCATTATTGCATTATCATTCTAAGGTTTTTGTTTGCAAAAATTTTATATTGTTTAAATTCTAACTAAATTATATTTTTTTTCTAAGGGTAAATCATCTATTCTACCAATTTATACAAAAGTTTTGAACACACGCATAAAAAGTGGTGGACCATTATCTAATTTTATTGAAAAGCAACAGGTATACTGTTTTAACTATTCTTTGAATTCAATAAATAAGCTGTATATATATATTAAAAAGTTAAATAAATATATGAACAATAAATAAAATAAAATTAGATTCATGTTAGATTATATCTTTTGCTTAGATACAATATGTAGGGGTCTTCAAAATAGATACAATTAATTGAGATGATATGTCTTTGGCACAGATACAGTTAGGAATTGCAAAAGCAGTAAACCAGTTTACTGTTATTTCAATTGAATTGCCAGTAATTAAATTAATTTTTGCTAGTAATTAAGCTGATTACTAACAATAAATTATTTTTAAAAAATTATAAAAAAATGCATTAAGCTAAATTTTCATATAATGGCTTCACTAATGGCTTTTCAATCATCTTTTTTTTAACTGAAACAAAAAACTAAAAGTAAAATTTGAATAATAAAAAAAAATAATATAATCTAATAATAAATAATAAGTAGTTGACTCATTTAATTCATCATCATGTTGAATAATAAGTTTGGTTCAGTTTTTTTTTTAATGTTTTTGAACTTGCCTCCCCAAGGCCGATAACTCTGAAACACGAACCTTGACAAACAAGGCTGCTGCTCAGAGAAACAAGTTGAGCAAGGTAGTACCAGGGACGTGGTGGGCATCAAACTCGAAACTTTTCACTTATGAGGTGAGCGCTCTACCACTACACCACTACCACATGCTGAACAATTAACAGTCAAAAATGGTATACCTTATATTTAGTTTTGTACATCAACATTATTTAAAAATATTGTTAGGTGCTAAATATTATGCTAATATTCTAAAGTGTAATATGATTCAATAAATTATGAATAAGCATGCAGAGGAAGAAAAGTAGAATGAAAGCATGAACTAATCAACATAAAGAATTTAGCATTACATCAGATGAATGAACATCTGTAAAAAATTGTTGTTAAATGAATATAAATGTACATTTATTTGTGGGTTTAATATTTGTCTAGGTAAATATATTTGTGGGTTTAATGTATAAATGCTGGGTTTTGTTTATTCTTGAAATAAAACTTGAATAAAAAAGTAAAAATTTGTTTTGAATTCCTTGAGTTTTAAACTTTTTATCAGTAGTGTTATGCATTCCAGAACCGTTTTAAAAAATTGCTGGTAGTTTTTAGTTTCCAGTAAGAGAATTTTTTTACTGACTTAGTAATAAAAAAATTATTCAAAAAATAAACAAACAGAATGTATAAACAAAAAAATGTAAATTCGTAAAGTTATTGAAATAAAACTTTAAAATTTTTAAAGATAAGGTTATTTTTATTTGCTAAAATTTTATAGATCCTTAAAGTGCTTATTGGTAATATGGGTTTTTTTTTGCATAGATTGTAAAACAAAGAAAAAATTTAAGTTGTCTAAATTATTCTTTACTTAATAGTTCTTAAGCAGTAATATAATAATAATACCTCATAAGCCAGAAGTTCCAAGTTCAATCCCCACCACATCCCTGCTATTATCGTGCTCAACTTGTTTCTCCACAGTCTTGTTTGTCAAGGATCGTGTTTCAGAGTTATGAGTTGAAAGAAGGTTGTAAACACAACTAAAGAAGCCTACTTGAAAAAAAAAGTCTTAATTTTTTTAATTAATCATGTTTTAAATTAAGTCCTTTATTTTTTTTTAGTCAAGACTTGTTCTTAGTTAAGACATGTTTTAATCATTTTTAAAATTAAATATTTAAGTTGTAAAATATATTTTATTTAAATATTTATTCCTGAGTATATTTTAAGTATATTATTATGTTGAAAAACTATTTTTATTTTTTTCATTTGAGTTTTTAGCAGTTGTATACTTTTAGTTAGTGTCAGCAATTAACAGAAATTAATTTTGTTTATATATTTAGTTGTATAATTTAGTTAAGTTGTTACAGTTTTTGAAAAAAAAGTGCAATAACATTGCCTGTATATATTGTTTATATTTAGCAAATTACTGATTCTTGTCGGTTTACTCCTGACCATCCACCGAAACATCCTATTGTAGATGACTCTTATTGGTACATGGAAAATCCACGTAAGTTTTTAATACAGATGTTTTTTTTTAGATTTTGTTTTATATAAATTTATTTGTATCAAAAAAAAATTTATAAATCACATTGAAAAATTTTTTCTTTCTGTAAACAAAATTTCAATAGAAAAATGTTATTTATTTTTCAGCTTCACAATATATTCAAATTGACAAAGCCATAAAAATGGAAGATGAGTTATCTTTAAAGATGGCTATAAAAGATGATTCCATTTTAAAAACTGATGATAATTATTACAAGACTCCTTTGATGACAGCAACTCTAGCAGGAAATTTAGATGCTGTTATGATGTTTGTACATTTTGGGTAAAGTTCCTTTTTGTTGCACTGAAATTTAAAATTTAATACAGTTGGTTTAAATTTTATAATAAAGTTTATTCATTTTTAAAGTTATTTTATTTTGATAAGTTTTTGTTATTTGATTCTATAATTACAAGAGCTGATGTAAATGCGAAAGACAATTTTATGTGGACACCTTTGCATTTTGCTTGCCATATTGGTCAAAAAGACTTGGTAGAGTTTTTGCTATGCAATGGTGCTCTTATAAATGCACAATCGTCAAATGGTGGTACACCTCTAATGCGTGCTGTTGAAGCTTCAAAGATTGATGTTGTAAAATTATTGTTAGAGAAAGGGTAGGAAATTTTAATGGTTTTATAAAGTTTTTTTTTTAAGAAACATACTTTTTATTAATTGTTTAAAATAGTAGCAATTTTAAGAAAAAAGACTTTTTTAATAAATTTTTTTATACTTTGATACTACTTTTTATGACTGAAGCACAACCTGGTTTTGTTTCAAATAGTAGAAATATTTTTACTTAATTCTTGCAACATTCTAACAGAAGCAGTGTACTAAGACTAAGCTGTAGGTGTTATAATAGTTTTTAATTTTGTTAATTGTATGGTATGCTAGGTGTCAGTATGCTAGGTACTAGGTGCTTTGCTCATTTAGATTAAACCATTTCTAATTGAACAGAGTTGTTATTAATGGTCATATATTAAACAAGAAGGTTGTTCTCAAAAGATAAGTTCTTGGCCCCCTATATTTTGTACTGTTTATAAACAACTTTAAAATTTAATTTGAAAGTAATAGTTAAGTATTAAATATTAATTTTTGTTGTATAAGTGCCATTATCATGAGATTATTACCATGACATCATCATTATGACATCATCATGGTCATGTTAGTGGCTGGAGTTTTTAAACATTAACCCATGCATTTATTATAAAAATGCAGTGTTGTAAAGTATTTTAAATATGTATTTAAAATACTTTTAAAGTATTCGGATTTTGTATTTTAAATACCTTTTAAGTGGAGTAGTTAGTAATTGTATTCTAAATACAATTTTTGATGTATTTTTTATTTTCAGTGTCTTTCAAAATAGAAAATATTTTTTAGTACTTTTTTTTTTTTTTTTGAAATTTAAAATAAAATGAAAAGAAATTTATTCTGATTGATGTTGGTCTTCCCAAAAAAAATGTCTCAAGAATGGAAATGAGTTCAACTAATAGCAGCAATTAACAATAAGTACCTAAATTCTTCCACAAACAAAAGTAAATTATTTAATTATCAACAACAATACGTGAGTGAAATGGCTAATTGCTCAAAATTGTAGCCATGTGTCAGGCGAAGTATACAAGTATCCAATGCTGTATAGTATACAAGTATCCAATGCTGTGGAAAATATTAGAAAATTTTCATTTAGAAAACCATGAAAGACTCAATAGAATTCTAAAAATGATGTCATATGTCAGCTTTTAGAGCCTAGAGTTAAAAATAAGCTTCCCCAAATCATGGATGCATTGAAGTTGCGCCATTTCAAATTAGTGGAATCAGAATACAAACAATTTAAAAACATAATGCTAATGCTCTGGATAAACTTTATAGGGAAGTTAATTGTTTTCTAGGATTTCTTATGCATACAGTTGAAAAAACTTCCTAAGAAAGTTGTGATGTCTATTCCAAAAGATTTATATTTAATAATATTTTAAATTTAAATTGCTTTAAAAATAAAATTTGAAGAATTGAAAAATTGTTTTGTATTTTAAATAATTTGGTATTGAGTATTTTGTATTTTAAAAACTTTTATTTTTGTATTTTAAATAAACTTTTTTGAAAGTATTTTTTACAACACTGATAAAACTAAGTTCTATAGGAAGAACTACAAGTAAATTAAGTTAATTTTTTTCTGTACCATAAAAAAAGATGGATAACAACAAACCAATCGTAAATATATTTTATTTCGATTTTAGTTCCATATTTTTAGTTCGCTAATTCATCTTTTTTCAACTCTCTTTATTATCCTTTTTTCTTTAACTTTGCTCTTTTTTTTTAATTAACTTTTGTTTGAATACTAACTGTAGTTGCACCTGATTTGTTAGAATACTAACTGCAACTTTAGTTGCACATGATTTGTTTATTATCATATTTAAACATTTATTTTTAACATCTACATTAATGCATTTTTTTGTTGTGGATGTTGTGAGTGTAATATACTTAGCAAAATTTATATTTAAAATTGGAAATAAGTTATCTTTAATTGTACATAGTTATAATTTATCAAGTCAGTGCTGATATTATATTCACTAGAAAATAATTTCAAAGGTAACATCTGCTAAGATTGCCTCTCTTAATTATGTTTGGCATTTCCTTATTCCTGATTCCATTATCTACCTCCATAAATCTCTTACTTTTCCTTTTATGAAATAATGTTTTCATATTTAGGCTGGGCTTCATAAAAAAGCCTTTTACTTTTATCAAATTCCAAAAACACTTGAGCCTTTCTCCCATCATTGTTAGATTATATCTCTTTCTTTTTTCTTTAAATACTGCCATGTTTGTTGCTTAAGCAAGTAATCATCTTTTGTTTAATTAACCAAAAGTTTCACATGACTCATCATTCAGCTAATTGCATCTTTTTTACTGTAACGGTTTTTAAGTTTTTATTAAACCATTTTTTAAGTCTACCACTTTATGGCACTTTAACTTTTTTCTTTGGTTTCTGTTAATTCTTAATTTCAAATTTTACTTTGTCTAGCTCGAATTTTCAAGTAGTGTTAAAATAAGTTGGTTGTTAGTGGAAAAAATTTTTAATTTTCGATAATTTTTTGTTTTTATAACAGTCGTAAAATATAAATTCTCAATGTATTTTGAAAAAATATAAATTATGACAACCTTTAATTCAATAGAAATACCATTAAAAAGCATTCAGAGAAAAATTCAAAAAATATCTTTAAATTAAATACATCCTTAGTTGCATAAATAAAAAATATAATTACACATAACTATGAATAATAATTTAATTGAATCTGTTATTTAGAAAATATAGACTGACTTGTTAAAGACCTGTTACGTTTCTCTCAGGAGGACCAAATAACTGATTTGTTAAAGACCTGTTACGTTTTTTATGTTTTAATTTTTATAATATTACTTCAATCTATATTTATATTATTTCAATCTGTATATGATTGAAATAATAAATAAAAATACATCTATAAAAAACTTAACTGGTCAGATTCTGATCCTCTCGTAAAATTTAAAATTCTTGACGTTTTTCCTTTTTCATAGAGTTAAATTGATGTTTAAATTAATTATTTTAAATAGAAATGGTGTTAACAAAACTTCTTTAAAATTATATAGTCTATTTTATAATATACGTACTTAAGATAGTACTATTATTATCTTTTAGAGCTAATGTTCTGATGAAAAATAGTAAAGGAGATTCAGTATTAGAAATAGCAATGTCATACGGAAATTCTGATATCCTTGAGATAATTGAAGAAAAATTGAAACAGTTGCCTCAGAATGGAGTAAAGAAAAAAAACAAAAGCATTCAGAAAAAAGAAAAATTGAAAGGTTTTTATTTAAATTTTAAAAAGTTTGAAAGAAAACAACGACAAAAATTTATATGGATTAACATTAAATGTGAACGAATGAACAATAATTTGTGGAGCGTAAATTAGTTAATAATTAATTTTGAGCTTTTTAAATAAAAGTAATTTATATGTATATATATATATATATATATATATATATATATATATATATATATATATATATATATATATATATATATGTATATATATATATGTATATATATATATATATATATATATATATATATATATATATATATATATATATATATATATATATATATATATATATATATATATATATATATATATATATATATATTGTATAAATATTTTATTCAAAATTGTTTTTTATATATTTAATTTATTTTATTAAGCACGTTTTAAAATTTATTACCATAAATAAAGCCATTTTATAGACTAACTCTTATTTATTTTTTTTGTTTCATGTCTCAAATATTGTACGAAATGTTTTACTTTTAGGTAATGAAAAGATTATGTTTACCTCCACACTACCACTAGCTAATGTTGAATTAAAATCTGAGTTAAGTGTAAGTGTTTTGTTTACTTACGAGTTTAATTATTCATAAAGTTGATCTTTATTAAAAGTTTAAAACAAATTTTGTTCCGCAAAATATAATATTTAAAGCGTGTACACGAACTAAATGTGAAAGTAGAAAAACAACTAAAAAAAAGTACTCCAACCAAGTAATAACTTTAATATGATAATTTTACTTCCAACCAAGTAATAACTTTAATACAATAATATGAGAAGATCAAATATAAAAAAGAAAAATCAAATTATTCTTGTGGGAATCTAATAAATCTTCGAACTTTTGCTTTGGTGGTACTCATAAGCATGTGCACAGAATATTTCTGCAAAGTTTTTTTGTTTTTTTCATTTTTCTTTTAATAATGGCCCAGTACTTTTCAATAATTCTTAACTCTGGGCAGTTTGGAGGATTTTCTGTTTTAGGCACAAATTTCCCATTATTATTTTTATACCATTCCAAAGCTAGTTAACAATAATGAATTGAAGCTAAATCTAGCCAGAACACAGGTCTCTTATTGTGTGATTTAATGAGAGGTAAAAGGCGTTTTTGTAAACACTCTTTAACATATATTTGACCCGAAAGTGTGGGCTGAGAAATAAAATTTGCTGATTTTTTGCTACAAATAGCTTGCCGAATCAAGACTTTTTTAACAAACTTGTCATGTTTTATGTACTTAAATTTCTTATCTGCTTTTCCTCTACATTTGGCAATATAATAAACGACACCAGGTATTTGCTGATGATCGTACTTGATATAATTTCATCATCTTCAATAATACAGAAATTTTTAGAAATAAAATTGTCATACAACTTTCTGCAGCGGGTTTTTAGACTTTTTTGTTTAGTTTCAGATCGGTTGGGCACTTTTTGTGCTTTGAAAGAATGAAAACCATGTTTATTTTGAACTTTCACAACAAAACTATGAGAAAGTCTATAAATGTTTGCGCGCTCCCTTAGTGAAAGGCTTGGGTTAGTCTTAATACTGTTTACCAGTTTTCTAACTAGTTTTTTATCTTTAAAACTCTTCTTTCTTCCACCACCAGATTTGCGTTTGATCGATTTTGTTTGAGAAAAACGTTGGATTACATAACTAACGGTGTATGGATGTACAAATGCTATCGATGTGTAGTAGCTTCAATTCGATAGCATTTGCTATTGAATTGTAGCTACTATTGGGATTTTCCGAATATTTGTGCATAATTTTTTCTCCTATGTCTTCTTTTGTCATTTTTAAAAATAATTTTAAGTTAAATTAAAAAACTAATACATTTTTTTGAAACCACAACACGTTGTAAACAAAATACAAAACAATTAAAAAGATTTTAATATAACCACTGAAAAAAAATAACGGACTTATTCTTTCGTGTACACGCTTTATGATATTTAGCTTGTAATTAATATGTTAGTATCATTGTTGAACATGCTATCACCTTAAGTGAAATATTTTTATTAGCCAAAGTTACCTCAAAAAAAGACTCCTTCTTTAGCAGAAAAGAAATTAAGAGATCATTCTATATCGTATACTGTGAAACATGCATGGATGCCGCAGATGGACACAGTAAGCACATAATTCGTTTATCTTGTCACAAAATAATATATTTCAAATTATATTAAAATAACAACTTAAATTTACAACTGAAATAAATCTTTATTTATTAAAAATAATTTTATTTATATAAAAATAAAGTTTATTTTTTTCGCCTTTAGGAGGCCTTTCTTTCTTTATGTCAACGACGGCGGAATCGCTTTGGTTGTGAAATCGATTTTACTGACTATAAGGCTCCGTTTGAAAAACATATAAAAGATCTCTTGACCGTGTTAGACGAAACAAATTAACCCTTCTTTGGGCTAATTGGGATGCAGATAGAGATATTTTCTCATAAAAATGCTTTTTATTTTCTTCTGAACATGTTAGTTTTGATGCTTCCTTTAAGTTGAAAAACATAATAGCTTTTTCTTTGAGCTGTTTTGGAAATATTCTAGTAGGTTTTTTTCGTTTAGTTTTTGTTGACGACCAAGCTCATTACTGTAGCTTTAAAGAAAAAGTAAGAATTATTTAACAAAAAATATTATATCAGAAGTAAAAAATTGTAAAGGTATATTTAATAAATTTAATTATATTTTTTTACCATAGTTCAATTTCCGTTGGAATTGTTTGAGATTTTATCAGATTTTCAACATCATACAATGAGATTTTAGGATTTACTCGCACTTTTTTTGTAAAGGTATACTGAACTTCGATGTCAAAATACTCCAAGTTTTTTGGCTCTGAGTCATTCTGAAAATTATAATTGAATTCTGTTATTTTATGAGGCGATAAGTATTTTTGAATAACGAGGCTGAAAATGAAAAGCTCATTTCTCCCTACAACTTTTCCATAAAAAAAAAAAAAAAAATTCATCATGTAAACAACTTATTTTTTTTATACTAAATACAGCAATAATCATTTTATGAAGATTTTCAACATTTAAAGCGCTTTAAGCCTTTCAAGCCGAAATCCAAAATAAAGCAATAACTGTTCTAATCTAAAATTAACTTTTGTACATACTAACTTTAAAAAATTTTCTCCAAAATAAGCAATAACTGTTCTAATCTAAAATTAACTTTTGTACATACTAACTTTAAAAAATTTTCTTTTCAATGTCTTAAAAGCAAATTTCAATGTCTTACTGATTTATGAAATCTTTAAAGTATCTTTTTATCAACGCTGTATTCTTTTTTATTGTTATTATTAAAGATAATACTAAATAGTATTAATAAAAATTATAATAGTATGTATACATATATATATATATATATATATATATATATATATATATATATATATATATATATATATATATATATATATATATATATATATATATATATATATATATATATATATATATATATATATATATATATATATATATGTATATATATATATATATATATATATATATATATATATATATATATATATGTATATATATATATGTATATATATATGTATATATATATATATATATATATATATATATCTATATATATCTATAGATATATATATATATACATATATATATATATATATATATATACATATATATATATATATATATACATATATATATATATATATATATAATATATATATATATATATATATATATATATATATATATATATATATATATAATCTTTTAAAATAAAAAAATACATTTTGCTCAGAATACTTTAAATCATCATCGGTGACGGAGTTGAATCCAGATGTTTTATCCATTAACTTATATTTTAACGCCAACTTTTCACCGTTTTTTATAATAGGTGTAGTTTGATTTGCTGCTAAATCACCTGCTTTTTCATTACCTTGAAAATTTAGTTTATTGTATTCATTGTTTATTGTTGCACTTTGATCAAGTAAAATAAAATAATTATTGTCGAATGTATTTTTTGGCTCTTGAAGTTCCAAAGGTGGGTATTGATCTATATTATTGCTTTTTGTAGAAATACCTTCTTTTGGTTCACTCATTGAAAACTTTTGATGGTGATTAGTATTTTTATTTTTAAAATCAGAAATCGTTGTTGATTTTTGTACATTGTATACAGGTTTAGGAGGTAACTTGTAATTGTATTCAGTTAAAACCTTATTGGTTTCAGCGTGAGTCTGAGATTTTATATCAAATACAGGTTTTGCTTTTAATATTGGAAGTTGTTTATTAGGAGGCTTTCCAATATGTTTTAAGGATTTTTTTCGTTCTGGTTGCCTTATTTCTTCGAGCATAGTTTTTCGGTTAGGAATAATTGGTTGTTGCTGAAAAGAAAATATGTATTAACAGGTTTAATACCATATTTTAAAACGCATATTTGGAGTAGGGAAGTTACCGTTATACATAAAAATATGTTTTTCCCGCAAAAGTTATTCTCACAAGATTCAACACGATAATTATAAAATGAAATAACAATATACATAATAAACCTGAGAAACGAACTTTTCCTTAAGTCCAGAAAAACATATATATATATTATCTTCGTTTTCAGTGGCAATAACCTAATAAAGTTAATAAAATATAAATTAATCAATATATATTTTAATCAATTAAAAATTACCAAATTAAATTATAACTCACATCTGGCCCTTTTATTGCCAAATTTTAAGCTGTTTTATGAATCATTGTTAACAGATGAATATTACCATTTAAATATCTTTTAATACGCAATGAAAAAAAAATAATAATTAAAAAATTGTTATACTACAAATAAATATTTATTTGTACTGTCGATTTTCCTAAGAAGTCTTTTTTTTTCAGGTTCTCCACAAATAATTTTGAAGGTCTGTAAATTACTTTTGGTGATGGAACAAATAATTTAATTGAAGTTCCAGCCTAAAAAAAATTTAAATAAAAATTTTGTTTAAAAATAATAAAATTTTATTAAAAAGATAATATAAAAAAACTTTTATTACTTGTTATTAATTAGCTATATAACTAACTTTAGAGCTAAAAATCTCCTATCCTTATAAAGTTTATTATTGCCAAAGTTTGTGAGGTGATAAAATCTCTTGAAAGGACACGTCCCTGAAAATGACATTAGTGCGTGCCTCGAGCTCACCAAAACGTTATAATAATGCATTCCTGTGTATGAGGATTCACCATATATTCACTACTTAGTTATGATTATAACAACGTCAACATTTTACACTTTTAACTTATCCGATCTTTAGCGTTTTTATATAGTTGTTGTATCTTTTTGTTAAAGACTTAGTATTTATAACAACGTCAGCATTTTACACTTCTAACTTATCCGATTTTTATTTATTTTCATACTTTAGTTTAGTAAATGATTCATCTTGTTAGTTAGTTTTTAACATTTTCTATTTCAATTTTTTTGTTGTTTTAAAGCACTTTTTAAAACAAAAAAATTGAAATAGAAAATTTCAATTTTTTTTTTTGTTTTAGAAAAAACTTGAAATTTTTAAAAAGAAAATTGAAATAGAAAATTTTTGTTGTTGTTTTATTTACTGGGACAGTATCGTAAAACGGTACTTTTGAACGTTTTTGAGATATTTTTACTTGCTCTTCCTTCACTATTGATAATATTTGAAATTTAACAAAATTAATATAGGGGTTAAGACTCTTACATTATTCGAATTCAAAATAATATTTAAATAAAAGGATTTTGTATAATATTAATTTAAATATTCATTCAAAGTTACCCCACAAATGGGGTAACTTTGAATACGTTTTTTGTAAAAGCAAAATCTGTTCAAAAACGCCTTGTTTTGTTTAAAAATTTAATAAAAACAACAGTCTAGTTTCAAAGTAATTTATTATTGCTAAAATAGTATAATATTATTTCATAACAAACACGTATTTAAGATTTTATTTTGTTTAAATGGGTATTTTTTAAGTGGACTAGCATAAAAAAAGTCTCATTTACATCAGTTTCACTTACAGACTATGCAAGTGAAACATCTTTACAGACTATGTAAGTGAAACATCTTTACACTTTGTCAAAAACTCAAAAGAAATATTTTTAACGAGGTCAAAAGTAATTTTTTTCCCTTTTGAGTCTGCTTTTTCTTTGACATCATTATGAAAAAATTGTTAAAGGGGCCATCCATAAAGGACGTCATCCAAATAGGGGGGGAGGGGTCGAGTTAAAAAGGACAAAAAAGGACAAGGGGAAGGGGGAGATTGTCAGAAAAGGACGTCACTTTATAGATTTTTTATTTTAGTTTAATTAACATGGAAAACTACGTAAACATTTGTTTTTAAGAAGATAATGTATGAGAATATTTTTAGCTTTATTTTTCAAAGGTGTAGCAGCAGATTCAAACATCATTGCGAGATGAAATAAATTTTTTTAGAGTTAAAAATAGGGGGGGGGGTTCAGGATTTTATGACGTCTTTTTCAAGGGGGGTATAGCGAAAAAGGACAACCGGAGACAAAGGGGGAGAGGGGGTCAAAAATTGGCTAAAAAAATGGTAACGTCCTTTATGGATGGCCCCAAAGTACGTTAATCACTGCTCGGCGTACTAAAGTTACAACTATCTAGCCAACGATTGAAGATGATATTTAAAAAGTGAATAAAATCAAACCGTCCTGACTTTGATTGTATTTTTGATTGTATATACATTAGGTGGTCCACTTCGGTTCTTGTTGTGCATAAATGGACAGCTTTATAAACATAACCAGAGACAACTTGACCAGAAGCACTAAACATGATTGACGTAACATAACATGTTCCATATTTGTAAACACTTTGGACTTTCCATGTGCTTTCGGATTAAGTTTTTAAACTATATTATACAAAGTGGCAACCTTCACCCAATGAACATCTAATAATTTTTTTATCTAATAATGTTTATTGTTACCACAAAATTATCACTCAGTATAATTTATATACTGACTTGTATCAATTTTTTCATATAGATATGGGATTGTACTACTATGAAATGCTAAACAAGAACAAATTTAGAAATGAATAATAGTATTTTCAACAAATATAATTCAACACAATATTGAATGTACACAAAAATATTTTTTATACAAGATTTAAAGTTTATCAGTGCTCTGCAAAAACAGTATATACACACAGACACACACAAACATATATATATATATATATATATATATATATATATATATATATATATATATATATAGTATATATATATATATATATATATATATATATATATATATATATATATATATATATATATATATATATATATATATATATATATATATATATATATATATATGTATATATATATATATATATATGTATATATATATATATATATATATATATATATATATATATATATATATATATATATATATATATATATATATATATATATATATATATGTATGTATATATATATATATATATATATATATATATATATATATATATATATATATATATATATATATATATATATATATATATATATATATATATATATATATATATATATATATATATATATATATATATATATATATATATATATACAGTCGTATGACAATTTATTATGGCCACCTACATTTTTTCTAGAAACTCTAGAAAAATTGTGATTTTCCATCAGTTTTTACAATTTTATCTACCAAAGACGTATTCTAATAAAAAATCAGGTTGTGTGTTAATAAAAAATTACCATTTAATAAGAATAAATACACTTTAATAAAAAATATTCATATAATATCTTAGTTACAATCAATATTTTGTAACCCCTCCCCCCCCTTTTGCATCGATTACTGCCTGTACCCTTTTAGGCATGCTTTTTATGCAGTTTTTTTCCATTTCCTTCAATCTTGCATTGTGGATCCAATGTTTTATAATACTTTCTATTAAAACCACCTTGTTTGTAATATTTTCCTTGGCCACCTCCTTTTTTAATAGCTCTCAAACATTCTCTATAGGATTGAGATCCGGCGAATTTCCCGGTTAGTCCAACAAAGGAATATTTTTATCTTTCAAAAAGATTTTGATAGACTTAGCCGTATGGCATGGTTCTCCATCTTGCATGAATGTTTTGTTTTCCTCTGGACCAAACCATTCCGTCAATTGGGGTAACAATCTTTGTTCCAGGACATTTTTATACTGCACCTGGTTCATTATTCCTTGAACAATGTACAGCCTTCCCATTCCTTTCCCACAAATAACCGAACAAATCATCACCGAGGTTGGATGTTTGACGGTTTGAATAATACAGCTACTTAAATATTTCTCTCCAACCTTCCTTTTCACGTATTGTGCTTTTTTTGATAAGACTTGGAACGTGCTCTCATCACGAAAGCAAACCTAAAAATATTATACGATGGTTCATTGACCACAATGCATGGATTATCTAAAAAATTTAAAGTATTATTTAATAAAATAATCTGTTATACCGTTTTCCAATCGTCTTCAGTCCAATTTCTATTTTTTTTGCCCATTCTAATCGCTTCTCCATTTTTTTTTAATACCAGAGCTCTCCAACTTCTCAGTGATATCATCATTTGATGCTAGCCTATCTTCCAATACTATTTTGGTAAGAATTCTTTCACCTCGTGGAGTAAGAATTCTTTTTTTACCACAGTTCCCAGTCCTTTTTGGAGTTAGGTTTTCCATGTTGACAATTTTTTTTTGGATATTCTGCACTGACACTCTAGAAACATTGCATCTTCTGGCGATTCCTCTTTGGGAAAAACCAGTATTTGTAAAAAGTGCTTGGATTTCACTTTTTTTTTTCTAGAGATGTCTTTTTTTTTGCCCATTTCTAAAAAAATAACCAATTTTAGTACGAAAATTTCTATTATTACTTAAAATAGTTTTAATTACAAAATACTGAGTGAAATAAAAATATTTTTATGTTAATTTATGTAATGTAATATTCTTAAAGTAATATTAATCGATTTGAGTACTTACTTTAATGATAACTTTAAAAAATATACCAAAACTAATAGAGAGTATTCACCACGTGCACTGTAAGAATAGCGGTCTCAAGATGGCGTCACACAAAATGGCTGTCAAAAATGACAGTGTTTACATCAGCATAAAATTTTAAATAATTTTGTCAACGTATACGTTGACAATAAAAAACTATATATAGTTATACGCGTATAACTATATATAGTTTTTTATATATAGTATAACTGGATGCATACAATATATATATTGAATGCATCCAAATAAATTAAATTATATAATTTTGAACTATAATGCCAAGAAAACAAAAGATAAGCAAGGTATGTTAAAATTTATTGGGTGGCCATAATAACTTGTCATACGACTGTATATATATATATATATATATATATATATATATATATATATATATATATATATATATATATATATATATATATATATATATATATATATATATATATATATATATATATATGTTTGTGTGTGTCTATGTGTATATAAACACTCACACACACACACACACACACACACATACACACATATATAAATATATATATAAATAAAATGTAAACACACACATGTGCACAAAGACACACACATAAACACACACACAAACTATGTGTGAATTTAAGTCACACATATTATATACATGATGTTTAAATTTTTAATCACAATAGTATTATGTATAATACTTAATATATTATATATAATACATGTATGACAAAGGAAATTTTAAAATTGTTTCAAGTTTCTGACTATTTATGTAGTGGAGTTAGTTTGAACGTTATTCAAAGTTTGCGAAAAAATGTATACAATAAACTGTTATACTATAGCAATAGAACATAACTATAGTAGACAAACAAACTTCTTTAGATTTTACATGCTTAATAAATTTATAGACAAAAATTATACAATTTAGACAACTAGCTGCTACACTAGCTAAGGCAGTGACACTGC